TTTATATTCGTCTATATGTATCTTGTGTATACAAAAAATTCCAATGAGACGTCTGACAAAAGTAGAATACAGTTAAAGTAGATTAAAGCGACATTCCGCTCCTTTGTAGGTGATTTTTTTTTTTGCTCAAATTTGTGAAAACTATACACCAAAAATGTAGAGAAATGTGTCCCTTAACGCATCTGAAAGTTTTAACTAAAATCCAGCCGTTAATTTTTAAGCGCCAAAACATTTAAACACATTACGTAAGGTTTTTAAGTTCGTTATGGGTTTTGGAAGCTGTTAGAAAACTAGTGTACGGATTGGAGTATAATAAACGCCTGTAGAGATATATGCCCCCTACGTATGCTAAAGGTTTCAGCTAATAATATCAAGCCATTATAAAACCAAACACCAAAACTAGGTCCAACAATTAGTACTCTCCATTTTAAATTAACCCTTTTAAAAGAAATACAGTTTGATTAAGAAGATATTTTCAGGTATAACTTACGATGTTTTTGATAATGAAAACGTAATTAAAAAAGCGGAATAACAGTGTTAAAGATAGTTAATATTTTCTGCCAGTATGTTTCAATTTCAAATTTTCAAGTCATAGTAACACGACAATGTTTTATATTGTAAAATAAAATGTAAATTGCCAAAACCCCGAATTCAGATCCAGAACTAAAAAAAAAGCCTAATCTCTCTAAAACCATTTTGCGAGTAATTCATCCTGACAATATTTTCATTCGAGACAAGTAATGCAGATTACAGAGATAATCAACATCTAGTCGTAATTTTCCACCACCTGCACGCACCGATATTACTGCGGAAGCTTATGAACTAAAAAACCTAATTCACTCATGGAATCTCAATAACCTAACGTATACTTCTACAAGATAGGAGGTTGTCAGCTACATCAAGAAAGTTTGAAATATAACTTCACTGTCAGTGGTGTATCACATTGTGAAATCACACCCACCGGGTGTCACGGTGTCAAGGGTCAATTAAAGGGACAGATTCGACATTTTGGGGTGTTGATGTGGGTCTTAAATACATACGTAAATAGTCTTCAGAAGTACTAGAAATGTAGAGAAATCGCACAATTTCTTCCAAAAATACATCGAACTAAAAATTTAACTTTTTCTATATATGTCTTTTCTATATACGACAGTGTATAAGAAAGACGAGTCGTCATTTTAACTGTCAAATGCGGATAAATTTGGACACACATTGATTTGAAAGCTTCGACGGTGAGCTGTGAACACCATAACTACTGATTACCTTGGCTAAACAATTCCATAAGACTAACACTAAGACGACACTGTCGCTTTAATATCGTTTTAAAAAGCCAACATCGAGTTCTGTCCACTGTCAAAGAAGATCATTTGACGGTAATATCCCTTTAACAATTCAAAAGTTGTTTTCCTATTTGTGACAGAATAGCTATTAACCATTAGAAATTTGAGAGGTTTCTTCAATCAATGTCTGGGTTTAAATCTCAATGCGGATATACAGTTCTTATGCAATATTCTAATTCTATCTATCCCAATCATATCTTGAATATGAAGGAACACATCAGTGTTATAATCTTTAATTGATATTTAAAAATAATTTTAGCGACGTTTTAATTCACACACAAGCAGTGGCGGCGCCAGTGGGGGTACAGCAAATTGGTTTGCACCCAAATTTGTCCGAAACATCTGCCTCTATTCCAGCCTCTGATGGAGAATTTGACAACAGTTGTATCCTTCTCAAAACTAGCTTTCAGAGACTGGAATAAGACGATCTTTCGGTCTACCCTATAATATATGTTACAATGCACCAAATGAAACCAATTTTTCTACAAAATTTCTTTGGAAAACCCTCTCAGACGCTCCATAAGAGGCTTGCGACTATGACACCTTAACAGAGTTGCCGCATTTTGAACTGTCTCCCCCCACCCCGCCCCTTTGGCTCTGCCATTGCCTCCACTGGTCTAGTTGTGCCACTGGATGTATGTACGAATATATCGAACAAATCATTCAATCAGCAATACACGTAATTAGCTATAGAAAATCTTGACCACATATATCGAATATTCAACTAATCAACACCTAGTGTTTGGTCGAACACAATTATCGAACACACCCTTGAATCAATAGTTAAAAAAAGTCTACAAGAGCATACCGAACACAGGGCTAATTAATCATTGTATTTACGTGGAAATATAATTATCAAATTATCAATCCGACTGTTATTAATTATATATAGAATTGCTTGAACAGCTAATCGAACAACCATTTAATTGGATGATGGTGTGTTCTATAATTTTATCATGTAATTAACCAATCTCAAGACACAAGAAAATTAACAGCTTCATGACTCTACTTTTGTACCGGAAGTCTACATATGTACCCGAAGTCAACTGTTGTACCGGATGTCTACTTTATTCAGGAAGTGTACAAAGTACCAGAAGTCAACTATTGTATCAAAAGTCTACATAAGTACTAGATGTCAACTGTTGT